ATGAAACAGCTTAAATCTCATAACATTGCACATTTATATATATATTTATTATTTTTATTATATTGACCTTTCACCCATGCCTGGCTAACAATACAGAAGTTACAAGATCAAGACAAAGTAGGCATGAAGTCTTTAAAGAAAGAAGCTAATCTTGAATACAACCAAAACAAATGCAAAAGAACTTTCTAAAGTTCTTGGCAAAGTAGCCAAGTGTGGCTGAAGTATGGGGAAAAGAAAGGGGTCATGTTATGTTCATGACATGCCTCAAAAAAATCATAATTTTCTTTCAACTAACAAATTTTCTAATGGGATATCTGATTTAGGACAACACAGCATCAAGTTTCTAATTTTCATTAGTTAACTAACTTGCTAACTCAAGTATTGAAAACTACCATTTATTGCAAACAACCCTAATTGGCCTGAAGGTTGTCCCAGTCTATAAACCTTATTTCAAACACTGAGAAGGATGTGGAAAATTTTTCTCTTCAAGTTGATTCTTCTCCAATTCTGGTATTACATTTATGACCACAATTTGTCCATTAGTTTTGAAGTAATACCATTGTTAATTTCTGTGTTACATATATACATTTCTGTGATTGAAGTTTTTTGTTTAGTCTTTTTGGTTGAGCTCTGAGCCTTTTCATAATGCATTAATTTATTTCTGATATCATCAGGATCTCCAATGTAAATATTTTAGCCCTTCTGAAAATTATCACATTATACATAATTCTACCAATTTAATCAAAAGATATTATTTTATACATACTTATCATGGTAGTTCCTCCAGCTAATGCAGCCTTTGTTCCATGATAAAAATCATCAGCTGCTCTAGTACCCATGAAAGGAAGTTGAAAGTGAGTGTGGGTATCAATGCCACCTAAAACAAAAACAAATATTATAATGTACAATTTTTAATTCTGACCAATTTTGTTTCTTACTTCAATGTTAAAAGCTGTTCTTCTTTCAAACATGTCCCATGTAATTCTATTTTCTTAAAAATTACTAGTCAGTTCTATTTATGCATGTGTGGTATTCAGATGCAATGACATCGACAAATAAGTTCTAAAGCATCCAGAAAATGCACATTACATCAAAGTTATGCTAAGAATAAATTAAACATAGACAGTAAAGGAAAGAAACAAACAGAAGTGAATAAATAAACAAAATTTTTATTCACAGTAAACATGCATGTCTTCACACATACTGGCCAGCTCACACTTTTCCTGTTTGTTCATGTCAGTTACTGGGGTGAGAAGCTTTCTGCACGTGACCACACAGAACAAAGACAGAGAACTGTGATTTATTACTCCTAATTCTTAACTTACTGTGAAGTAAATAAAAACCTGATGATGACAAAACCTTGTCGAAATGTTGTACATTTTCTGTTATGTTAAACTTATATTAAAGTTTTTCTTCATTACCCATTCATGCCATCTCCAACCATTATTAGTCTCAAAGTGGGTTCCTCGTCATCGAAAATGTCTTATAAACATACACTTAAGAACCCATTAGTGACATTCTTAAATAAAAAAAAATGCCAATTTATTACTTATTTTAGATTTCTTCCATCAATTATTAAAAATAAAGCCAAATTTAGGTCAACTTTTAACTTTCTTTACTGATACTAAAAACATGTAGCTTTTTAATTCTCCTGTTGTGTGTAACCTTATCAAAATTTTTCTGAATGACAGGATGTATGTCAACCAAGGTTTCTTCACGTAGAATACTAAACAAGAAAACTCTTACATTTTTCAAATCAGCTTGACAATTATTTATTAACTACCAGCTTTATACAATATTATGAATGATCTCAACAATCAGACTATAATTTTCTCCAGATAATAATCTTTTAAACTTTTAAGCATTATTAATTGGAAATTAAGTACTAGCATCTTTTAAAACCTTTACTAAAATTTTAGTCAATTTGTTTTTGTTTTTTTAATTTTATGATGAATATGATCCAGATTGCAAGCTTTAGTTTCTTGAAGCTCCAAATGTTTCCAATAAAACTTTTTCTTAAACAAATATCAATTACTAAAATCATAAATTTCATCCTTATATTTCACATCAAATACTTCATCAGTAAGAATTACGAATCCCATTGAATTTCTTAAAGGACCAGTTTTTGTTTATGCTTCAGATAAGAATACATAATAGCTTCTCAAGTCATATTTGATATTTCAAGCTTAGAATTTTTCACAGTTCACTATCCTACAATTTTACACAAGTTCCATATTCTATATATTGTTTGAACAATTTCTCAATCCAACCATTAAGGAATTCGTTTTCATTCAACTATAATACAACATTTTAGAAGGAATACTTTAGTAAGTGTAATAAAATAATAAGAATTTCTTAAGCTCTGTTTACATTTTACTCACTTAAGCCAGTCTCTTAGTATTGTTTTATTGTCGTATCTTGCGATTTGGTCACACAATTGTTTGACTTTACTTTATGAAAAAAGGAGATCCAAGATCAACCACAAAGGGAACTAGTATTAGTATTGTTTTATTGTCGTATCTTGCGATTTGGTCACACAATTGTTTGACTTTACTTTATAAAAAAAGGAGATCCAAGATTGACCACAAAGGAAACTAGAATGGGTGCCTCCTTGGTGAATGATGTAAGCTACCAACATTGAATTGTTGGAATGGATCATCATTAGTCGAATCCTGACAAGAGGAAGAAAGTGAACCAAAGCATGGTGGACTGTGGAAGTTCCAGGGCATGGTAAGACCTTTTGGCCGTAATACTATTATCCTGAAGACTAATGCTGATTGACCCATGACCCCCCAACCTTGGAGGTAAGCATCAGGAAAGAGAAACAAATCTGGACAAGGAGGGTATGAAGTGGGAGCTTTAATCAACCAACGACATACATCATTGAAGAGGAAAAGAGGAAAGTTACAACTGGAATCCTAAGGAACCTATCAAGATTCCATGGGTTGTGTAGTATCCCCTGAAGAGATTGTGTATGGACTAGACCCAAGGAGATAAGTGCTTCCATAGAAGGTCACATCCCTCAATGCAACAGAACTTCACTAGCAGTAAGATAGTTAACAGTAATGATGTGAATGACTGAAAGCTCTATCAAAAGCAGTCAAGGAGGAGAAGGATGGGACCGAAGGAGTAGGGTGTTGAAAAAGACACCCCCAAAAGACAATGTTAAGTAGGTAATGAAAAAGACTTCTTCAACTTGAAAATTCAACCTCACGAGCTGTGTGGGTAAGAAGCAGATGAGTATATTGTGACAACTCCAGTACAGAATGACCTAACAGAAGCCAGACGACCAAGGTGTGGTGTAACTACAATCCCTCATCATGCTGAAGTCTGGTGAAACTAAACACCCAACAAAAGACTGATGGATCCAAAACAAAGTCAAAAAGTAACATGTGAAACTGGTACCCAACACTGTGGTGAACAAACCTAAGATAGCATCATGGGGGATTAAAAATAGGACCGTGGATATAACAATATGAAATGTCTACTTTGGGCATCATCAGTCCTGGAGAAATGGCCCACCAGAGTGTGATAACGAACAATATAGTAAAATGTGAAAGAAGTGATTGAGGCAGAACTACAATCAGCATCGCATCTCCTTTCTGAGGTTCCACCTGATCCTTGGGAATTTTTCGTGAAATACTCCCCCCTCCCTTACCTCCACGTTGGGGTGATTACCATTTTTGGCTCTTTCCCTATACATGTGGCTTCTTTAGGATCTTCTGGGATGGGACACTGTCTTGTACCAATTTTGTTTACTATCCACATCTACTTGGATCTTATGGCTGGCTCTTTTTCTTCACTGGTCTATTTTTTTTTGGGGGGGGTTACTTCTGTGAGGCTTCATCAGGTTTTTTTGTTTTTTGGTTGCTTGTTTGTCTCATTCTAAGCCATTACAATCTTTCTTCATGTTTCATGTCCAGCACCTTCCCATTATTTATCAGTACTACCTCCAAGTGTTCGTCCATTGGTTGTATATTATAACATGAAATGTGTCTAAAAAAGGGCTGAGGTAGGCATAGCAAACTCCACAGGAGAAGTCTGGGAAGGCAAGGCATAAGCAGGTGGAGGAAAAATGTCAAAATCTACACTGTCTCAAACAGGTTCAGCAAACCCCGACCTTAGGGGTCCTCACAAACCAAATTGTAAAAAGTAAAAAAATATAAATAATTATGAAAATGAAATAGTATTTATATTGTAAAACTAAGTACATATGTATTGACAAAAAATGTATTAGAAGGAACTGTTGAAGAAAATTACATTTAACCTAATTTAAGACTTACCAGTAAAATGAATTACAGGTAAGCCTAAAATAACAAAGATACATGTTAAGTCTAATCCAGCATTGCAGTACAAAGGATATCACTAAGCTCTAAATGAAAACCCTAACCTTACAATAAGTATTTACAACTCCAACTAAACTCATGTTCTTGAACCCATATAACAACAAAATATCAAAAAATATTCAAAAATCTTGAACAGTATAACAGTTTATCTGTCCAAAGTTGGTAGACCATATTCAAAATGTGTGGGCTCCCAAACTCGAGACCTGACAAAGGTAAACTCATATAAAGATCAATCTCTCAACGTATGAAAGCCACAATTCTTCTGCTGAGTACTGCCACCTGAAGCTTAAGTGTGCTGAAAGTAAATGATATTACTTTCGAAGTGGAAACATAAATTTCAGTGAAAACCGAAAATGGAAGAAAAATAAAGGTAAGTGGTCATTTAAAATTGTTAAAGTAAGGAAGAAAAAAACGTTGAAAAATATTTCCACTTCGAATGAAGTTTTAAAAAAATGTAGGAAGAGGGGCACAAACAAAAACATCAGGACAATAGCTCTGCCATACAAAAAGTGAAAATTTGGTAGAATTGAATAGAGAGAGTCACATGCATCAGGAGGATGTGTTGCACTCCTATTGTTGAAGGGTTTTTTGCATGAGAATTTACAAGTGAGACACAGTTGAATCACATTGATTGTGAGGTATGTGGGAGCTCAAGGTTTGTGGCATGTTAAAACAGATTTTTTATATAAATGGCAGCACTGAACAAGAATAGGTAAGTTACCCTATTGGAATTTTGAACTGTCCATGTTTGTAGAAATATATCATATCCTTGGAATAAAAAAAAGACATGAACACCAGCCCTTCTTCCATCTTCCAACAGCATGGTGCAAAGGTATAATCACAAAATTTTAAATAAATTAGCCATTAATGTAAATGAACATTGGAAACCATGCTTACAAGTTAATTAAGCCACCAAATTACCTATCCTCTCCAATATACCCTGAAATTTTTATGCCATGTAAGCAACAACCAGAAACAAAGCCATCAATATACCTACCTTATGAATCTTCAACTAAAAAAATATAACACTTCCTTACTCATCAAGAACAATTACCTACAGAATATGAAAAGACAGAGACAATTTCTACCTAGCATTATTGCTTATTTGCCTTTTTAAATGTTTTTAATATTATTAAATACATATATAAAGCTAAAATAACTTTACCACATGCACATATGGCACTATAATAAAAAAATTTGATGTACAATTTTTAAGTAAATTAATTATTTAAGGTTTTATAGTACATTCATAATTATCTATACAGCAACAACTTACCTGGGATAATTAGTTTCCCTTTGGCATCAATAGTTCTGGTGCCTCCAGGAATGATAAGATCTTTTCCAACTTGTCTAAACAAGAGGTAAGTGAAACAGAAAAACATTTACACATTTATGGCTACATCATATTAAAACAGTAAACAAAGGATTTTCACATACATTTATATAATTGTTAAGTCTGATAATCCTACAAGTTTTAAATGCAAGTTAAATTAAAATATGAATAACAAAGTTGCAGGAACAAAAATCATTTCAACCTTCAATACATTAATTTGTTCTTCATTTTGTGGATGAAGAGGTCAAATGCATCTGACCCTTCCACATCTTTAAGACCTAAAACCAATCAAGGGAAGATTCATTCATTCATTTTTCACATTGTACTTGTCATATGCAAGTCTGTTAAGGTAAAATGGGATGGATTTTCACTGCCAAACTTCATATTACAATACATTCTCCATTAAAGAAAAAGACTAGAATAGTAAGTTATTTGAAATTTGACCTAAAATAAAAATTCCACATATTATGTATCAAGATGACTTACATGCTTATTTCATCTTGTTAATTCATGCAGTGAATAATACAAATAACACTGGCCTGCAAATTTAGACTTCATAAAAGTTGTTTTGGTTTTAATAATGGATTTTTCACAATTCAGCTATGCAGATTTCGAAAATAATAGTTTTTTTTCTATCACGTAAGGATTTTTCACAGTTGTAAAGAAAAAATACACTCTTACTTAGATCAAATTATTTCGTTTACCACAATGAACATTTTTTGTTATTATGTTTGTTAACAAAAATACAAACCAACTAAAGAAAATGGAAGAACATTGATGTCAAATGAATATGCATCCTCATTCAACTGATTTTTTGTGTGAAATGTACATTTTTTTACAAATCACGTACTGTGGTCTTTCTTTTATGTATTGCATCTGGAGCATCTCGTTTCAAGGACCAGCAGTAATCAGCCATCTTCCAGATGTTCCACCTTCCATGATACCTCCTCTCCATTTCCCTGATGTTTTGATGAAACCTTTCCCCTTTTTCATTGCAGATGGCACCGAGATTTTCAGGGAAATAGTCAATATGTGAGTGTAAGAAATGAACTTTCAAGTTCATGTTACAACCCAACTCTTTGAATTTATTGAGCATGTTATTCACAATATTTTTGCAGTTTGGGTCGTCGTTGTTTTCTAAACATTTGTCAACAACATCTTTAAAGACAATACATGCTTCTTTTTCAACTTTCCTCATTGTCCTTTCGAATTGTTCATCTGAAGTCAATTTCATATTCTGAGGCCCAACAAAAATCCCTTCTTTAAGTTTCGCATCTGAAAAGAGCTGGGTATTGCTCACATAGATACTTGAAACAGTCGCCATCTTTGTGTAAGGGCTTTACAAACTGCTTCATCAAACATAGTTTTATGTGAAGTAGAGGTAATAGAACTTTCTTTGTGTCAATGCTTTTTTGACAAATTCTGTAATGTTTTGCTTGTGTTTCTTTACAACAAATTTACCATAAATATAACAGAATATGTATGGGTCATTTACACAGCCTCTTGTTGCCATAGTGATGAATAAATAATATTGAAATAAAAAAAAAATGTCCAAGTGCACGCACAAAAACAAATACTATGCAGAAATGACACGTCACGTGGCCTATTAACCATGATACAATGAACACTATATCAGGATCTTTTTATTCTCAACGTTTTGACTACAAGCGTTAGAATAAAAAAATCCTGACAAAGCAGTCATAGTTTCATTACTACCTTAGTATCCATTTGTCAACATGAATAATACTTAGCCTGTTAACCGTTTATATACTAGTGGTGCATTTCTCACGTCACAATTATTCTAGAAAAATCTATAGCCAGCGGTTGCCAACGTTTTAAGCAAAACAAGATGTGACCCAATTTCAATGAAAATGATTCACTTATGTAAAAGTACATATAACATTTTGTGAAAAAATCTGTATGTGATTGAGAAAAATTGATATCCTTTTCAGATTCAGTGTACAGGAATTACTGTAGAGCATGTAAAAATTTCAAGGCAGTAAAACCATCACAGGCCTTTGTAATCTTTACTTAGAGCTCAGTATAATAGCTATGACTGTTCTTTGATAAAAGTATATTTTACTGTTTATTTCTTGTTGATGTTTCACTGTAGCAAGTTATAATATAATGAAGGACATAGGCAGAAATCTATAAAAGGGGAATGCAACTTTGGAGTAAAAAGGAAATAAAGGTGAAGCCATAATTTGAAGGCATGTCCTCCTTGGAAAACTATTATAATTTCAACTAAAAAATATGCATTTTCATGGTACTGAGGTTGTTGTTTTTTTTCCATATTTTATATAGATACAGTTTGAATTTATGAGGTGTGATGCACTTCCCTCTTCATACACTCATGCAAATAAATGTGGTGATAAGCAATCAGTCATGGCCTCTTTCTAAATGCTGAATAAAGACAAAGTTTTGCAGACTACACATACATTATGTCTCAGCATAGAAACTGAAACATTATCTACACCTACAATACAGACAGGTGAAGTCTAGAAATGATTCAACACAAATAATAACATTTGTATTACAGTACAAATATTTCAACATTAATTCATATGAAATTACAATCATGTATATACATTAACTCAAGCTTACTTGATAATTCCATCTTCCAGGTAGACATCTCCATCAAACATTAAATCATCATTAACAATCTTCCCTCCTTTGATTAATATCCTTGTCTGGGCACTCTACAATTAACAGTTGTGGAGTATTAGTTTAGTGTTAAAATTTTATCAATGACAGCTAAAAGGAATACAAATGATACATATTATTATTGATAGTTGCATCAATATACTGAAACTAATTAATCATTGCCAGTAAGTCGATTAAATAACATTGGCTAATAATACTTAAGTTTAAAAAACTAAAACCATTGAAAAGACTAGTATTCAGAAGAACTTGAACAGGTTTAACAAGTAATCTGAAACCTATATTTCAATGTGAAAAAATATAATATCAGAGAAAAATATGGGTTTAAAAAACTTTAATTGGAAATGTTTGTATGTGAAAAAAATTCAGCACCCAGTAATGAGCAACAGCAATTTAAGTTTGATTACTGGAATTCTTTTGAAACTTCTACTCAGAACTTAATTATTTTTGATGAAATTTTTAAAATCTTGTATTTTTTGTGAAATTTTAATAGTATTTATTACTGTTATTTTTCTGTTATTGATAATTATAGTTTTGAATAAGAATCATGAATTATTTTATATGCAAACATCTTTAACAGTGCATAAACATTCATCTACACTTGTTTCTAATTAAAAAGCTTTTCTCTAAACAGAATATATGGGTAAATTTTGACTAATAGTTGTCTTGGACATACTATAAACACCACAAAATATATTCTATTTGTTTTAGCACTGAATTTGATATTGCCTTACTGTATTTGTTGTTGAAACAACAGATATGAAGATTTATGAATGCATTTGGGTTATAATTTGGATCAAATGTTTAACATAGATGGAAATTCACTAAATAGCATGACTAAAGAAAAAGATCTTGGCAGAGTGGTGGATAATTCACTCCAGTCATTGAAGCATTATTCTGTTGCTAGTCGTAAAGCTAACTCAGCCAAGATAATTTTATGATATATTTCTAGACAAATTGATATCAAGTCAAAAGACATAACTGCCTCTCCACACAAATCACTAGTTATGTCTCACTTGAAGTATTAGGTACAATTTTGATCTCCTTATCTAAGGATAATGACATAATAGGAAGGGTTCAGAGAAGAGCTACTAGGATTATTCCTGGGATGGAAGGGATATTTTACAGGATTATGTCAAGATCTCATTTTCATTTCAGAAAAGAATAGTAAGAGTTGATCTTATTGAAGTTTATAAAGTCATCCAAAGAATTGATAGGATACATGTCTCTCATACCTTTTTGCACTGTTATGAAAACAACAGAATGAAAGTACATAAGCTTCAGGTTTGGAAAGAGTCAAACTAAGCTCAGTTAAGATAAGTTTATTTTTCTGACAAGGGGATTGACTTGTACAATTAATTGCTGCTTGTGGTGAAGGCCATCACCTTACAAAATTTTAAGAATGAAGTTGACAATCCCCCAAAAAATATAGGATGGCTTTAAATTTTTCACTCCTCTTAAAAGTTGATGCAAGTGCAACGTCAGGCTTCAAGGACCAATCAAGCTTTGTTGACCCCATATTATGTTAAATTCTCTTTTGTATAAAAACAGTTTATTACTTTTAAAGAGATAAGTGTAAGCCACTAGAAATCTATTAATGCATTTTCATACTGGAAGACAGATCAAATTTACAGTCATGTCTATTTAAAGTCAGAACTTCAAATAGCATTATTAAATTTGTGTTTAAGCATAGCAAAATTATAAATGTATTATTTCAAAAGCAAATAAATATGGTAAATGTACTTACTAGGTGAAAGACTGGTTCAAAATATGTTATCTCTGTTAATAACATCTGTATGTATGTAAATACATACACACAAGTGTGAGTGTGTGTGTGTAGAAATAACATTTACAAGTATAATCATCAAATAATGCTTGTAATCATGCAGTCATTGTGGCTGTATACAGTATAGTGTATATCTGATCTTCTTTTTGATTAAATATTATTCATGTTTTAGCACAAACTACACAAATCTCTGCAAAGAATCAAACCTTGGATTTTTATTAGATTAATTAGTTAAATAATAAAAAAAAAGCATTGAATAATGGCTTGAGACGGCTTGAATGGGTAATGAAGAAAAACTTTAATATAAGTTTAACATAACAGCAAATGTACAACATTTCGACAAGGTTTTGTACCTGATGATGACAAAACCTTGTCAAAACGTTGTACATTTGCTGTTATGTTAAACTTATATTAAAGTTTTTCTTCATTACCCATTCAAGCTGTCTCCAGCCATTATTACCATATGTTATTGTTGAGTGGCTCTTAACATGACTGAAATGCTCAACAATTACTTTTTGCAGTGGGTGGTATAAAAGCTCAGAACTTTGGCTTTGAGTGAAACCAATAGTGCAAACAATTAACCTTTTTAAAACCCATGAAATAATTTAAATTGATAGATCAACTTAAACTTTTCCTGTCACTGGGGCCAGGTACTTTTGCATGTAGGTCCACAATTAGAAGGAACTTTGAGATTATTCCCAGGCTTAGAAAAAGGGATAAAAACAGCTCTATGCTATGCATCTGGAGAATCCTCCTCCTGCCAAATACAGTTTAAAAAAACCAGAAGAAGATCAAGATAAAGACTGAATAGCATATCATAATGAATGTCATCTGATCTAACTGATGTATTACCAAGCTGATGTAAAGTAATTTTAAGTTATATCAGAGTAAAAAGTCATTTAGTCGTAGAGACTATCCCAGCTGAACAAGATGATGATGTTTTTTGGCATGTGACTTGATGGCCAAGAAGGCAGGGGAAGAGATGAATGTGCTAGAATGATAAGAAAAGCATTTGTCAAGGATGTTAGTAATACTGTGTAGATCATTTCTTTTCCATTGGAATGCAAGATCAAAAGAGGATGGAAGGTATACTTCCCATTCACCTTTCAAAACTTATCCCAAACGACATAGGTACTGGTATTGGAAGATATACTGGAAGTGAACTTAATCCAAGATTCCTTCTGGCTAAGATGTCTAATCTGCCTAGACACCAGAGTGCTGAATGACCATAAAGAGTGGGATGTATTCAAAAGATATCCCAGGCCCATTTCTGAACCTTCTGTGCTAAGAAGCACCATAGACAAGGATATTGTGGCAAATGTATGTAGATTTTGGGAATGGTGTGAATAGCTGCTTGAATAATGTGGTCAGTCACGGCAACTGAAGCATCAATAGGTGAGAAATGTGCAGTGGCAGAATCAAGCTCAGAGAAAATAGTGAAAGAAGACCAGCCAGCACTGTTTAGCTTTCAACTAGATATGCAAGTAGTATGGCATTGACTGCAGCCAAGTTTACTGTGAACGACTGCACAATGAATAATTATTACCACTTAGACACAATCCACACTCCAAGAGAAAGATTAAAAAAAGTGAGGTGAACAAATAGACAGATCAATACTGGAAATGCCTCACTAAGAATATTGAAAAGGAATAGATCAGGATCAGAGAGAAAATGTTCCCCCAATAGTCCCTATGCATTGCTATCAGCATAGCTCCAAGAGTTGACTGTGTCAATTAAAGTCCCCCATGATAACAAAGGGATATGGCAACCAACACACCAGATCATCAAGATCAGATTGATCAAAAACTCTTCCAGGTAATGAATAAAGGGAACAAATATTAATTGCACAAATAGCAGTAGTCAACAGTAAAGACAAGAAAGGGGTGAGATTACTTGCAAGTGTGACACCACCATGAACTAAGCCATTTGCTTATTTTATCCCCACCCAAAAAATTAAAATTGCCATAAAGAGGTGGAATCAGAAACTTTCCTATAGAGAAATGATTGTTCAAAAACTTGATGTCTTCCAGGTTATAAAAAAATATATACAATTCCATTGAAATAAAGTGGCCATTATCACATAGCAAATGTGTAGGAAGCATACAGACATTTGATATATATCTCTATATACACACATCATGAACTAAACCTACCTTAACAGACACTAAATGAGTCTGAACACTTGATTATAGGGAACTTTCATTTAATGGTCGGTCACAAACTTTACACAAAGTGCACAGATATCAACCACAAGGTTTGAGTTCATATTTTTAAGTCCAGCAGTTTATAACTCTAGCCAGGATCCTTACTCTAAGTAAGCATTGTAAAAACTTTTAGTAGAACTAATATTCATCTAACTAAAAGCAGAGCAACATTACCTCAAGGAGCCCACAACTGCATGAACCTCTGGTTTAATAACCTTGAATGGATACACTGCTGTTTCAATGTTGAAAGTAAGGATCATCTTGAGATGTTGGGCAAAATTGACTATGTTGACAGAGAGTCTATAAGTAAAAAGTACAATGAAACATTGAGTATCAAATTTATACACACAAACAAGTATAGATAAAACTGTTAAACACCATGAAAATATTAAAATAAAATAATTAAATACTGGAAACACGTAATTTCTCAGTAAGTTAACATTATCAGAGTACCACTACTTTATCAAAACATTATAAATCACTTTACTAACTACTTGGTGGAAATCAAATTGATTTAACAAACTTAATTTTACATAATGTCATTTTCTGTAATATTCTATGGTAATTCTGTGATTGCTACCCTGAAATAAAATCTACTGACTATTCAAACACACTAAGTTTTAATCATTGTATTATTTTTTTAATAGGTACAGCTGGTCTGTTCTTGCCTATTATTTAATAAAAACGTTTGATGCCTCATGGATACATGCTGCCAGTCTAAGACAAGGACACGAGCTCTGTATACTGTTGAAGACACTTCTTGTAACAGCTAGAAGAAAAGCAAAAAATTGTGTTTATAAAGAATTATGATTAAAAATTGATTGACATTTTTGTACTTTCTAAAAAAAAATTAATTTATCATATTTCAACAAATAAAAATGAACAAGAAGAACATTATATCATTCATCAATATTCAATCTACAGGTTCACTAGAAAAAACTACTCACATATTTGGCTTCATTATTCTTGCAAAATATCTTAAAATTTGATTAAACAGAAAATTAATTTTTTTAAAAATTTTAATAAGAACCAAACTTTTCACTCTTTCTTTTAAGAAAACTGATATTTTTGCTTTGAGTTCTATATGTAGACATTTGAAAAGTCTGTATTTCTTTCCCTTCAGAGTTATGAGTTGAAGGATTTGTTTAATTAAATATAAATAGCTACTGAGTCATAATTATCTCCCCAAACTTTTGCTTGTTAATGTCATACACAGACTGAAACATGGTTAACTTATAAATACAGAGTGACAGAGAATATAAGTTAATTTTCATTTATTTTCTATCAACAAGTTTCTGTATGCTTTGTGAATTTAATGGAATAGATAAATTTAGCAACAAGTTTTACATGATTTGCAACTTTTTATTCTTGTAGCATACATCTTCACTTCTTTCATTATTTAAAAGTTTTGCAATTCACCCACAATCTGTATTAAATATATATAGAAAATTTATCAATGTCATGTAATTTTAACTATTCTAGAAAAATTTATCTACATCCTGAGACTTCAACTTGTTTAGCTAAACATTCAAATAACAGAAAAATATTGCTCTCTGTTTATTCTCTCTCTCCATACATTAAGTTGAAACTTTTATTATTTTTCTGAAACTGGAAATTTCACTTATTCTGATACTACTTTTATCACTTCCCTATCTGTACATTTCAATCATGTTCAGAAAAAAGGCCACAAAAATTATTTGAAGGTTTTTTTATGAACTTTTATGTTCTAAGGCCAAGTTAAAGATCTTTTTGAATCAAACATAATAACTGTTTATAATCATTTACTTATTTGTTGAAAGCCATCACAAGCTTATTGACTTCATACAAAGTATATGCTTGGTATATCATGTTTTGCTTTCCAAAACCTGTATACATTTTACATGAAAACTCTCAATTATTTCTCACAAAGTAACTGAAAATGCTACTTAAATGTGTTACTTAGTTATGCAATAGCATCTTGAAATGGAGTAAGTTTGCATCAACTCCAGTACTGACTATTACCTATAGCTGTTTCTAGCAGAATATTCCATTTGACCTGCTTTTACTTTTTTATCCTTACATGAAAGGAGCTAAATCTAGATTTTTTTAGGTTTCCTATTCTTAAGAAAGAAAATCATTAACGTTATACTATGGATTTTTTTAGAGGGGGGGTTCTGTGCACACTTTTTGTCTTTCTTTGACAATAAAAAATAATAAAAAGGAGAGCAAGATGGTGATGGTGTTCTAATATATATGAACATAGTGATATGACTTAATGTTATCACTGTTTCGTTAACTTGTTTTGTAGAAGCAACACTTACTTTTATCCAATTTACTCTCAAAGCCTCTCTCACACTGAACAGCTTATATACTGATTTGTGAAATGGATCTGTTTTATCACACTTCACTTTTATATCTAAGTTGATATGAAATGCATACAAGCATTAGTTGTTGTGTTGTATTACGCATGAATTAGCACTTTGTTTTTCTTAATGTGAGAAATACAACTAAAAATATACATAATACTGAGCTACCCTACAATCAGTCTTTATTTACTCAAAAATCACTTTACAGTAACCTAAAATGTTTATGTTATTTTATTGTTCCTTTTATTTATCATTGTGTGTCAATAGTAAAGTTGTACTTACTTTAGGAAGGTCAGCTGTGGTTGGATATTTGTATTTTAACTCTTCTTCATTCAAGCTTTCTTCAATGATGGAGAAAGCAAGTTTTTTCACAGGATGAGCATTTACTGCAACAAGTCAATATCTGAGGCTTTAAATGCAATGAAGAATACTTATGGGTATAAATCTGTATGACAAACACTCTTAAAAGATTACTCTGGTGTCAGTAAGACAGTGTCTTACTAAGTTTCCACTAAATAACCAATGAAAAGTCTGAATACACCTAACTTTACAAAATACACATGAAACTGAACTTGAAAAATTATGTTTAGGGTTATCAGTCTTGTAAAACTGTCTAATATTATATGAAATTTTGTGATAGTTTACAATATAATATCCTGTAAGGGATGTCATATTGTAAATCAGTGTATTTTAGTGTAATAGAAACACTGAACTCGAATTATGTAAGGATATCTGTAACATGGCAACTGAGAACTGCAGTCTCAAGCAATGTCAACTCTTATCAGCTCAATTAGGTTAATTATAAAGAATATTAGGCATCAAAGCTTCATTTGGTTCTAAATACGAAAGATGACATGCTTTTATACTGTTTCACTTTAAAATGGAGATTTCACATGTGTATATCATAAAAATTACCCCAGTAATCTTACTGATTAAAACAAACTATTAAGTACTAAACATTGATCTACAAGATGATGACACCTACCTTCTACACAACATTTTAGGCTCACATGAGACACTTTCCGACATACAGTGGTTTCTTGTTCGAAGTCACAAAGATGTATATCATTATCTGAAAATTTCACCACCAATTGCACAGCATGCCAGAGAAAACTGAAAACCGCTTGGTCTTCTGTCAAATCCTTTAAGTCCCATTCCCTGAAACCACTAAGAAAAACAGACAAAGTTATGGACATTTGTGAAGCTCTAAAATTTTAGTAACATAAGATGAAAATGTATTCAGAAATCTCTTTGGGAATGTATTTTTGTTTATAACACAATACACTGAAATTGTAAAGAAAGATTTTTTTTAATGTTTAAATGTATATTACACATGAACACTTACTTTAATAGAGACAAAACAGGGAAAAACAAAGCCTTCAGTGGATGGGGTTGAACCAGTTGAATTGTTTCTGTGTCATCCAATTCTGCCATCTGAAGCTCTTCACTGGCACAGTGTCTGGGCAGATTAACATATTACTTTATTGCATCCTAAGACACATCCACACATTATTCAGTAAACAAAAAACAATAATAGTATACATGTAAAGTAGCATTTATCAACAGATGGGTCAGGACCCAAAATTGGATCATCAAAATGTGTGAAGAAGTTATGAACACTTTTAAAATTGATAATAGCTTATTTATTATGTAAGTATAAATTGGTAAGTCAGATGGTATTTTCACTAAAGCTATTACTGGGTTGTGACTGGCATCAATATTTACAAATGGGTCCTGAGCCAAAAAAGATTGAGAACCACTAATGTAGAGAATATATCATTGTATATCATGCCATTTTGTTGCTGTAGAAAGAGTTTATTGTTAAAAGTTTTAAAATATATTGAGTTGTTGAGTAGAACAAATATCAGAGGATCAACTATTGTTATTAACTATTATATGTTTGGCTAACAGTCATGGCCATCTTTGAATTTTAACTTTCTTCTATTCAAGCAATCTTCAATTATGTAGAAAGCAAGTTTCTTTCACAGGATGATCATTTTCTGGAACAAGTCAAGGTCTTTGGCTTTCAATGTAAAATGTAATAATAGAACACTTATGTATATAAATTAGTTTGATAAACATAGATAAATTCTCAAGAAACTCCAAATCTCACTATTTGCAATCATTAAGAAAACAATTATTAATGTTTATGAAGCTCTAAAACCTTGAGTAATCTAACCTTCATCTCCTTTTAAAGATGGAATGTAGTTTGTATCTATACTTTAAATATAATGTCTGTGGAAACTGTAATGAAATAAAATAAAAGTATTTCTACAAGGGCAACAGATGGTGTTATCCCTTTAAACGCTTTTCTGCACAAGTCACTGTGTTACATTCAAAATTTAATATTATAATGCGGGTTATGATTCCAAGTTTTATTTTATCTCAGTTTTAAGTCCTTTATTACAAAATAAACCTTTAAAAACTACTTAAAACTTCAGATGTATTGTCACATGACCAACAAGATATTAAAAATCTATGCTTTGGTTCTCTGAAATCTTCAATACTACAATGGTAATAGAGTAGACGTACACATAGCCACTAAGATGATTATATAATCATTTGACTTGTTCCTTTCAAAATACTCTGAATGAATACAGTTAAGACAAGTAAAAAAAAAAAATTCAACCCCTGACAGCTGTCACGCAAACCTTCAATAGATTTGTTTGAGATTTACTGCTTCCATGTAGACATTACATACATATGTGTTTAACCATTAGAAAGTGCTTATTTTACAGAATAAACCAAAAATGGTTATTTTGAAACTGGCACCAAGTCTTTGTCACAGAGTACATGAAACTGACTATAGTATTGTTGGGTGCTTGATCGACTATAGCACTTATGGTTGTTTCTTACCTAAATGTGTTATAGCTAGAGATACATTTTACTGTTATATTTGAGTTAATTATGTTTTAAAATGCATAACTAAAAGGTTTAACGATTTTTTAAATATATATCATACTTCCCATCCATTCTCAAGGCTTACGATATTGTGCACCAAACAAATATTTTGCCAAAAGGTTGCACATGTCTCCCAAAGGAAGTGTAATATGCCTCGAAAACACTGTTGACTTGTGTTGTGAGATGAATAATAAGTTGTAAAAGACAAGAAAGGAAAATAAATAAAATTAACTATATATGTGCAATGAAAAATAGATGAAATTAGGAATTTATCAAACAAAAACTCTTTAAAGTTATTCTACAAAAAATTAAAAGGTATGTATTTTTTTGTATTTACTAATTTTAATTATTTCATTGCATTGAATGTTGTTGATAATAGCTAGAGTTAGTGATATGGTAGAGAAAATGAAAAATAAAATATAAAAATTTCTAGAGATTATGCAAATGAAATATGAAACTATTAAATGAAGAAAAGTATTTTTATACTTAAAATAAAAATCACTTTGTACTCAATTTGTTAATAGTATGAATGAGAGTAACTACAATAGTAAAATAATAAATTTTTAGTAAAACACTTTATTATAAAATCATCATTATTTGTGTACAAGATACTTATGATCTTTATTGAAATCTTACTAGTTTTTGAGGATAGAATTCACAGTTACCACATGTATTTGTTGTACAAGTGAAATTCATGGCTCAATTTCTGCAAATTGCACGAGCCCACCACGAAAGTTATTACAGATGTGGATAATTATAAAATAAGCTACTGGAATAAGTCAACAATGGACTTTCTTTTCAGCCATTACATATATCCATACCTATCCTTATACATCTTTTATACAAAAGCCCTAATAGGTATTCACCATTAACAAAATATCATACAGCCAGAATTCGGTTGGCCATTATAATCAATGTAGTCTTTTTTTTCTCTGAATTGAAAACTGAAGCTATGAGAAATCTGATCCCAGATTCCTGCCTTTATTATTAGATAAGTACTTTGTGGAATCATGAACATCCAAACTTCTGTTCTCATTTCCTTTATGTTGTTTGAAGGGTATGTATTCTAAGATCTGTCAACCATTTTTTGAATGTACAATTTATTGGATAGAATGTGTCAATATCTAAACAAGAATAGTTACAATATTTATAAAGTGAAAACTGAGACCAAGCAAAACTAAATCATAGTCATACTAACCAGAAACATGCTTTAAAAACATGACCTGTCAGATCCTAAATGTTATAAGTCTTACTCTTTACTTCATTATGATAAAAAGATCTAAAACAATCAGCCAAATCAATGAAAAGGACTGAGGAATAAGTATTTTCATAGACTAACCTTTCATATTTACTAGAGTTTGATCTTCCACTATCACCAGACTGCATCCTTTCAATTTCTGAATATTGCAACTTTTCATCATGTGTACAATACAATCTTTCACCTTGCAAAGACTGAATGTTTTCATTATTTGTTGGCTGTATCTTTATACCTTTTGCCTGTTGTAAACCCTTTCTATTCGGGGACTGAGAGCTTGTATTATTCATAGTTTGTAGTGTTATATTTTCTGAAGGATGTAATCTTTCAGTATCTGAGATTTCCAGCTTCGTATTTACTGAAGCTTGCAACTGTTTATCTTTTGTAGGCTGTATTCGTTCCATTTCAGTAGCCCCTATTCTATCACTTGCTGCAGGCTGTATTCCCTCTCTTTCACCTTTTTCAGGCTGTATTCTTTCTCTTTGACCTTTTGCAGGTTGTATCATTTCACCTTCTTTGAGCTGCATTCCTTCCATTTCACTAGCCCCTACTCCATTACATGTAGGCTGTACTTCTTTTCTTTCATCTTCTTCAGGCTGTATTCCTTCAATTTCAATAGCCCCTTCTATACCACCTTCTGTAGGCTGTATTCCCTCTCTTTCACCCTTTGAATGTTGTGTCATTTCATCTTTTCCAGTCTGTATTCCCCCCATTTCAGTAGCCCCTTCTCTAACACTTTCTGCAGGCTGTATTCCTTCTCTTTCACCTTTTGTTGGTTGTATCTTTTGATCTTTTGCAGGTTGAATTTCTTTTATTTCAGCAGGTTCTAGCCTATCACCTTCTGCATGCTGTGTCCTTTCAACCAGTGTAGCTTGTAAGCTTTCACTATATGTAAGTTGCAGGTTTTTATCTTGTACAGGTAATAACTTATTATATTCTATAGGTTGTGAATCTTTATTAGTATTAGATATAGGTCTTTCAACTTGTAACTTATGATCTTTCTTAGTCTCTAATGTTCCTTGTAAATGTTGAGATGGTTCATCTATAATTTTTTTTCGTTTTTCTTCACAATAAGACAAGTTTTCAGAATCTGCAGGTTTTGACCTCTTTCTTGTTTGTTCTGACCTTTGAGCTTGTAAAATTTGTAACGAATTAGATTCTCCATCTAAATCTTCACTGTCTTCTGCAAAATAAAAATTTATATTATTTACTACAGTGCTTATAAATAATCTCATTTAGTTTCATCTTGTAAAGAAAATTCAGATATTTAAAAATATATAATCAGGCTTTTTTCATTTTTAGAATAAATCAGATTACATTACTTCATTGTATTCATTAACCACAGATAAATACTCCACAAAAAGCAAGATTAAGAAATTTGATCCTTAATACAGATCTCACACTTTCTCTTCTCTATGTAGAAATTTACCAAAATAATGGGAGTTTTTAAAATTATATCGGGTTAAACATATTTTTACCTACTTATTTGAAACTTTATCAGAAAATATTGTGTGTTAACCCTCATCAACACACGGTTGAAAAGTTAAACTGTGGGAAACCTGGGGTCCAACCAGACCCCAGCACAAACATACCATTATAGTAAGCTTTGGGTTGAAAATCCAAAACCGAATTGCATTACAAGTTTCATTAGGGTTAGCAAGCAATGTGAACAACATAAAAATATATATATTCTAGATTCTAGAAGAAATATGTTGACAAATCAAGAAATTACAAAATTACATTGTTTCTCAGTATACAAATAAGTAGTATTAAACCATTCCTTATACAAACAGTGTATCAAAAAAATAAAATAAAAAAAATGGAGTTTTATTATGCACCTATATTCAAGTCATTATCCACTAATATATGACGAGATTACCACAATACTGTTTTGTATGGTATAGGGCAAACTGCATGTATAGTGATGGTCAATGATAGTATGGGGTCCACGTAGATTTCCAGATAAGTATTAGATTATACCTATGTACAACATCTGCTTGTTTCAAAAATAATAGTCATATTGATCCAGGGTTTCTGCTTGACAATTACATGAACTGATATAAATTTGTAGTGTATTATGTTAACCCGATGATTACCAGCGAATAACTTTCTTAGTAGAAAATGCAAGCCTTGCTATATTTCATTCCAACAATAAAACTAGTGGATGAATATGTTCGAAACTTCATAAAAACTTTGATAAATGTATGTAGTTTAAGAAATATAAAGCTAATTACTTTTAAT